CATTAGACAAAAGCGGTACAGTATCAAACCAAGTAAATGTCCAATGTTTTCACATTCTCTTTTAACATAAAATCTAATGTTTACTAGATGTACTTCTACAGGGTCCCTGAAAATGTTCTGTTTCAAGAATAAATAAAACCAAAATTAAGAGTAACAAATATTTTATTTCTTGCTTTTGTAGTTCATATTTCGTGCTGTGTTGTAGGCTAAAGAGTACATAATTATTCTTTTGATTCATGGCATGAGCACGTATTACTGATGTCCCGATAGTACAAATTACAATGTTAAGCATTCCTTATGTGACGTCATTTTAGTGTCTACTGACTGACTGACAAACAACACACTACTGTATAGTGGTGCAAGCTGAAGATCTGAGGTTATTGCTTTACATGTCTGACAACACTCTAATGTATCAAGCAGTAAGAGACTTCAATCTCAGAAACTTCACCTTGAATGAGAGTAAAAAAAAACTTAAAGCAAAGGTTTGCATTAAGCTTTCCACAGTACAGTCACCAACATTATACTGCTAAACTTAGATGAATCAAAAAAATCCACTGAGCAACAATATGAGAGAGACTGCTGTATAAACCTTGCTCTTTCTAACCTCACCTTTAGTGTCATCTATGTGGCATAGGGCAATGCTCCAGATAAGATATGTAACCTTTTAAATACATTTTTTGAGATACAAAATTAATCAGAAATAAAAATTGTGTTTGTTTGTAATTAAACAAAAATCTACACAGTGGGCTATCTGTGCTCCACCCACCACAAGTATCGAAACCCACTTTCTAGTGTTGCAACTCCTCACATATACTGCTGTGCCACTGAGGAGGAAAAATTTTACACACAAACACATACTATTTGCCAGTCCATACATCATTTATGTATATGTGCATATCCACCTGTTCAAAAAAACAACAAACAAATAAACCTTTATTTGTAATATCACAAACACAATGCATGGTAGATTATTCTCTTTGGTTTGCTCTCCTAAGCAGTACTAAAAGAGCCTTGATTTAGTAAAACTACTATGCTGGAGAGGGAGTGGCACATAATGGAACAGATTAAGCCTCTACATCATTCACAGTTTTAGCAACAAAAAGAAAAATTCAAAAACTGAGTTATACAGTCACTACCAACTGTAGTTTGGAGTAACTGTTCAACTAAAATTATACCAGTCTTTATTTTATTGGTCAATGTCAAGAAAGTGTTAACTGTATTGAAGTTTCTGCTGTATTGCCTCAGAATTAAAATGAGCAAGCACCTAGTAAACACAGACACAGCAAAATACTCATTACATAAAAAGTTTATATGGAGCACTGGACATAGGGTACATAATGTCTGCTGTGTATGAGTACACAGTACATGAAGACTGGAAGATAGAGTAGCATACAATAACAACCTAGAAATCCATACAAGGATGTCAAATCTTCAGGCTGCAGTCATACCCTCAAAACCTCTCCACCATCCAAAAAACCCAAATCAATACCTACTGCAAGACAAACACCTCCATACTGGTAAAATATTGATAATGATAAAGCTTTGAAAGCATGCAATTAAGCCCAGGCCGAGTGCTGCAAATATTTCATGACCAAGCCAATGCAGAGGAGGAAAGGATTGCATGAATAGAACCTGTGCTCTCTACAAGTGATCAGCTTTCAAAGCACATGATATGAAATGGAATAAAATATGCAGCAAGACTGATCTCACAGGAACAGTCTTTCTGATTGCATAGCACCAAAAATATGGCAATGTCAATCTTGTATATACTGCAAGCTGTGGTGTCTGTCTGAGCATTCGTTTGTCTACTGTTTATTGCAGCAGTTTCCCGCACCACGTTTGAAAAGCTGCGTAAGCAGGCAAGGCTCAACATTCACTTTTGAAATGATGGGGGAACAGGATTGAATAATGTTGATTGCAAATTTTATTTTGCAAGCAGGATATTCTACACTAACTTGTTAGAAATTTATCACACTATCATTCACAATTCAAAATGTGATGTGACTTAAAAAATAAAAATGTAGATTTACCATATGTTATTAATGAGTTGCTCTTAGCATGACTTAAGTGGTCAACAATCACTTTTTGCAGTGTGCAGTATAAGTAGCTAAGAGCTTTGGCTCTGAGTGAAACCAAGAGTGCAACACAATTAACTTTTTAAAGTCCATGAAATAATTTAATTTGATAGATTAACTTAAAATTTTCCCATCACTGGGGACAGGTGCTTTTGCTTGTCTTTTATGACGATGACAGTATTCCACTCCATACAGATGCATACCAAGATAAGGCCTTCATGCACTTATATATATTAACCAATGCAGGAAAGGCTCATGGTACTGCAATTCTTGTTCTTAGCTACCACTACATGCAGATGTGGAAGTCATTGTTAAATTTGACAAAATACATATAGCAATATCATCTAAAGATGGAGCTCCAGGTCCAGATGGTGTAAAAATCTCCTCCTTTATAAAGCTTACACAGAAGTTAGTTTTACAGTATCATCTTGCAAAACATCACTGGCAAGATCCTAGAGAAGGCTGTAGCTATAAAGCTTGCCTATCAGCATCATTGGGTAGTTATTGCAGTGGAATAGAAACTGAAATTCAATACTGCTGAATTCATATCTGATATTTTGGAACAGAGCTGGTTGATTAATGTTGTTTGCTAATCAATTAATCAACAAGCTTGTTAAATGATTACATTTGATCAATTGATTAGCACAGTGTTCCTTTAACTATGTTAAAGCATTTGGTGGTTGGAATTGCAAGACATTTTCCTTCTCTCTAGTCAGAAGTTGAAGATTAGTTACAATGAAAGATAGCCCCACCCCTCGATTCATCAACGATGAACAAATTTGATTAAAAAAATAATTATAGCTTTGTGCTTAACAATAAACATAATAACAATATATCGATTACTTGGTGATTCGGAATAGTCAAAATTAGTAATAATAGGAAACCCTAATTTAGATTGATTAATTTTGTGATAATCAAAATTTCAATTAGTTGACTGTTGAAATGATTGAAAACAGCAATAATCAAAAACATTAATTTCAATTAGTTGATTATTTTTTAACAACTGATTTAATCATAATTATGATTAACAGATGAAATAAAAGTAATAATCAGAAATGCTAATTTTGATTAATCAGTTAGTTTATGTGATATAAAGTGATGTCATTGCTGCTCATAGGTAATTGATTAAATTGCACAGTTCTACATGGGAAGGCTTTGAAGCTGGTTGGAACACCTTGACAGTAACTTTGGATCTGGGAGACGCCTACAGTAAAGACCAACTGCCTATTCTTGCTTAAAAATGTTCAAAACAGGTATCAGTGTAACATGTAAAATATGGGTCATAGCAGTACAAACTATCAAAAGATGCATCATGAAGCATGGATACTGGCAACCATTGTGGATCAGCATCAACATTGGTTGCACTCTCACCATTACTCTTCAACATCTACACTATGGATTTAGCCCACCAAGTCAGTTCAACTAGATGCTTTGTGCTAACATTCTAGGGTATATCGGAGTCTAATAAATAATTGTAATGACATAGGAATGGGTAATCAATCTTGCTAAAGCAACAGCTTTGTTCTGCACACTTAACTACAGGCATGCTGATGAGACAAATCATCACCATTTTTCATGGGAATGGCTATCCCTCTGGAAGAAACAATGAAGTACCTTGGGGTAACCTTTGACAGACAACTCAACTTTACCAACCATGAAGAATCAATAGAACAACATATAGGCAGAAGACAAATGGTACCATCAGCAAAGGAACTCTCTACTACCTCCTGCAAGGCAGCCAGTCTTCATATATAGGGTCAGCATCTGTCTGCACAACCTCTGAGACTGTCACCTGGTACTCAACCAGAACAGTTTTTTCTAATAAGTATTAACTTTAATATATAATTGGAATTTTGTTTTACAATATAAATTCACCAAAACATGAGATCAGAATAAGTGTTTAGAATAACATTAGCTACGATTACAACCAAAAAACAAGCAATTTGTTGTAAAAACAAAAGATACTGTAGTATAAAAACAAGTGTTCTGTACTTGATCGTTTTGATCTGAGAGGTTCCACTTCTTCAAGAGAGCCCAGATCCACACCTGTTGCTGTAATACCATGAGGATTTAAATTAGCAAGTCTTCGGGGAGTGTGTACAGTAGTCATTTCCTGAATACCACCTAGTAAGAAAAAATATATTCTTCTAAGAAACTTAGTAGTCAATACTAAGATACTTAAGAGAAATGACTCCAAAACTTATTTTAAAAAAATGAGGTAGCATTTTTATGAGCACTGGATGTTAACACCTATGATTAATTTTATTTTATGGATATTCATCTTGCACCAGAATATTCTGAAAAACAAAAATCAAACCAATATTTAACATTAAAGAGATAATGTGTCTCTTGAGGCAAAACATTGGCAAAAATATAAGAATAGGCCATACTTTGTATTAAATATATTGTATATAGGAATTATGTTGTAGTAAGTGATGTTTAAATTGAAACTGACTAACAACAAGCTGACCCTTTTTTATACTTGACAAGCTACTGACTTTTATATACTAACGTAAAATGTCTTGCTCCTTGGTGCATGTGCAAACATATCCAACAGTGATGACCAGGGCTAAAACAGCAAAAACTATGCTCATCAGAACAACCATTCCATCTTGTTCACCTATCTGCCAAGGTTCCTTCTCTTCAGGGACTGTAAATGTTAATGTTTCTACGGAGCAAGAATCTTTACAGTCTCGGCATGAACAAGCATAACCACCCAAATATGCAGCTTCAGAACATCTGGAATATTCCCAGAACATAAGTGTAAATGCCAAGACCAGAACAACTAAGTGAAAGAAACTTCAAAAGTTGAAATAGTTAGATAACTATGAAGATAAAATTAAAAAGATTTACATTTTGTGTATCATACTTGTTTCAAATGCTATTTCATTCATTTCTATCATTATAAAGCTTTGCCAAAACAAGAAGTCATTTTTATACTTACATATTATATTTGCTTTGATACACATTTTCTATGTTTAATTACAGGAAAAGTTTGTGATCCACTATACACAAGCAACAAAGGATGAGAATAAAAAATAAATATATACGTAAATGCACAAAAATGCAAGCTAACATACTATTGTATACTATGTAGACAATGAATGAAAGCAACTATCCATATATATATATATATAGCCAAAATGTGTGTTTGTTTGTGCCCTAATGCCCCCCAAGCCTATTGGGCCAATCCCAACCAAAATTTGTATGTAAATACTATTAAATATGGGGAACTAGCGTACAACCTGTCAAAAATGATGTGGCAAGTACTACCACCCCATAGTATACAATAACCTCACATTTCATAGCTAACTGACACAAATACATTTTGCGAAATCAAGCTTGACCAACAAAAAGGCAGAAAAGTGCAGTCGAGGCAGTCAAACGTCGATAAATTCTTTTGTGAGCCAATCAAAATTAAGATTATTCATGAAATGAATTTGTGGCGTATTCATAGAATAATTATTAATAAAAATCGGTCAGATTAACAATTTCTAATATATAGAAAAGCCAGTGTGTTTTGGTAACACTACATTACCAACAATAGGTCTTTTATTGTCACCGTTGTCTTAACAAACAAAGGTAATAACCTAATTACTAGTTGTTAGTTCTATTAGTACTAGAAAGTTATTAAAA